TACTGTTGTTCTATTTAAAAAGACTGTAATTTCGAGGGGGGGGGCTGCAGCCTACTGTGCTCACCCACTATATACGCCACTGATAACATTAAGTCATTAACAATGTATCTAATACTAATTATTTGTTATGGACTGATTTTGAATGAAAAAGTAAAGTAGTGATAAAAATAATTTCGGGTAATACAAATGTAATTTAAATAAAAATATTTAATGTAACGAGTAACGTAATTTTATTAAAGTAATTCACCCAACACTGACTATCAGTTTATATTAAATAGAATTTCTAAATCTATTTTCAATTAAAAATAAGTTTAACATGTGAAACAGTAACATAATATTACAAAAATATTACCTTGCCCAGTGAATGGAATGTTGTCTATTTCACATTTCACTTGGAAAACTGATGGTGTTGAACTAATTATAGTTTCAATAAATTTGACACCGGGCTTCATTTGATTTTAACTGTAACTGGATTGCAGTTTTTTTGGGTCTTCGGGAACTTTCTCATAGCCCCAGCCCTAAATAGAAGGGCTTAAGATATAAAACTATAATGTGGTGTGGTTGTACTTGTGTATATCAAATAAAATATCAGAGCTACCACAAAATATGAATAACATATGACCTTGTATTAGTATTTAAAATTTAAATTGCTATTATGTTAGCTACTAAAGGGAATAAGATAGTAGATACTACATACTTTTGTCCAATTTTCAACCTTAACAGTTTTAGTAAATGCCTCGTTACTATTTCTTTATTGTTAATATTATATATTTAATTTGTGATAAAACTTTTAAGTTGTAATCGGGTTTTAAATACTAAGTAATAATATGTTAGTATAAAAAATTATTCCAATATTCAAAAAATTGTGTCATATGATATACCATAATAATGACTAGTGAATTTTTAATTAATTTATTTAGTTACAAGTTGATACCACAAAATCAAATATTAAAATATATTATACCTTATGCCAAAATAATCTATAAACTATATTCCGTTTATTGTATATGTAAGATGTTGACACTAGTCGGCTCACTGACCATGGCCAGGAGTCTACACACAGCGTTTCTTTACTGTCTATTTAAGTAATATTAACTTTAAATGGAAAATAATATATTTTAACATACTAAAAGTACAATTATTGATTTAGTGATAAAATATTATATAGAGTTGTTTTAGAAAGTATAATATAGCATACCTCATTTACTATTTCTATTTTTATTAAATAAGCTTATTCCTTGGTAAAAGTATAATAGGTAGAGTAGTGTATACAGTTGTATTTCTGCTTATTATGTCATTAAAAATTAATGTGAAAACATTTTGGTTTTTTATCCATAAATAATAAAATGGGTCCCACCAAGTTGACTGATATTAAAAGTCTAATTACTTTAATAATAGTTATAGGTATAGTATAGTAAATAGTTACTTTAATAAATAGCTACTAATTTTCAACTTTTTCCTTTCAATTCCCGAAAATTCAAAATCGATTAATTTGTATTAATAACTGTTAATTTAGAATAAATTGTAAATAGTAGGGCCGGGTCGATGTGCAAAACTATATCGATTATCGGCCGATTTATTTAAAACCGATATAAAAAAAAAAAAACAATTTATCATTATAATATGTATAATCTAATATTATCAACTCTGCGAGCGGTTATAACTGTAAACACTAAACGTATTGGTTATCATGTATTATCGGGTATTTTATAATATTTGTTCATGCGTTTGGATAAAAATTCTAAGTTTTGAATATATCGGTTATCGGTTTTAAATTTGCATAACATATCGGATTATCGGTTATAGATTAAAAGTGATATGGGCCCATCCCTAGTAAATAGTAAATAAATAATTACTCACCTTTACCTTTGGTGGTGATTTTATGGCATTTGGTTGTTCTTCTTGTAAATTAATAGCTTTTGAAACAGGCTGTAGCTCCCATTGATGTAATAAGTTATGCATAGCTAATGAAGCAAAATGTGGCCACGGGAAATCTTCCTGTGGGGGTCCGTTAGGTTTCTGTACAGTACCATTTTCTCCATCTACCGTCACTGTTTCTATGGGAGATTCTTCTTTTTTTTCTAATTAAATATATGTCAGTATTTATATATATGCACATACTATATGAGCTAGTTTATAAAAGGAATCTAGAAAAAAATCCCCAAAGCTATACCTAACTATTGGATAAAGCTGTCAAAAAAAATATAAAATTTGAACGATAATTATTATACTACTTCTGATCCCGTGCACTTTATTGCCCGTTAAATGTACCAACTCTACCCATACGACTCATACTTTGTTCAATTATTTAAAATTCGGTGTATGATGTTCAAAACTTATCTTAACTTTCCTTACCCGAAATAAAAATTATGATTCGCAGTACCTAGTATATTATTATCAGGTAGGCAATCTACCTGAGGTAGATCTCAGACCACGTGCTGTTTGTACGTAAGTGTATGATTTAACTCTAAAGTATCAAGTTATACCAAGTTATCGTTTTTACTTAATTCCACCGATGGTGGATTAATATAATTATTTAATACAAAATTCTAATCTAACCTAACCGTACTAAAAAAGTATAAAAAAAACCGAATTTAACAATTTTTAAATTAGACTATCTTCTTTCCAGAGTTATAATCTACACACAAAAATTCATCTATATATATAAAAATGGAGAGTGAAAAATGTATGTTACCTCTTTAATATCGAGAACAAGCTGGTGTGTATAGATTGAAAAAACTAATAATACAAATGACAAACATGCCTCCGTAACCAATAGCAAGAATATACCAACATACACTGATTATTTAGTTAATTTTTTTCTGGACTGATGGCGCCCCACTATTGTATTTTTTGACATTCAAATCTTCTACTTTTCTGGTGGATTTTTCTAAAATTTTCTTTCGTAAAAACCTTCTTCGGGCAAATACAAACATCTTAAAAAAAAATTTGAGCCAAATCGGATCAGATGTTCTTGATTGATGAGGTAACGACATTTTTCAAGCTCCTTTTTTATATATATATAGATCTTAATATTGATAATGGGTGGGTAAAATATATTATTTTTTTTTTTTTTATGATATTGCTATATAAATATTTTAATTTATCTTATGTATAAACAGGTAAGGTCATACTTTCAGTAATTAATAGCTACAGTAATGAGGAATAACAATTTGGCACATATAACAGTGAAATTCAATATATAAATTTTTTAATGAGTTAATGATGTTTAAATTAATTGTATTCCCCCCCCTGTTCATGAATCCTAACATCTTACAATTATATTTTTAACCTAAGTATTATATATAATAAAACTACAATTGTGCATTTTATAATTATAAGCCTATAACATATCTAGACGAGAAAAAGTTATAACACTACAATTATTATATTGGTGAAGGTAAATTTGACGACTCGAGTAACAAATTTCCGTAATTTTTACTGTAAAGTGAATTACCAGTCGGATACTTTAAATAGTCAAACATATTTATTTATTATAATATAATCTTGATGTCTGATCGGAAACAGTGTAACTACTTGTATACAAAATCGATTTATTTTATGAAGTGGAAATGGTAAATAATATACTGTGTGTCCACAAAAATTCTTAAACAGTAATATAATAGTTAATAATATATTATAAATATTTAAATCATTTTAAATATAAAAATATAAAAAATGAACATTTTACGCTCAGCAGATCAGGTTAGTTTAAAAATTGGTGTGAATTGACTCTTAAATGTAAGATTATCATCTAGGTAATATCATAAGCTTTTTATTATACATCAGAACTCCGATTATCTGAACGCCAATCAAACGGACATCCAATTAACCGGAAGAAAAAAAAAAGGGTCCTAAGCTAAAGATTATTTCATAATATTATGTTATACTGTTATAGGTGGGAATGTTGGAACATAATAGTTAAGTACCCACTTACAATATTTTTGTATTTATTGATAATATTTACTTCAAAATTATAAAAATATTATAGATTTAGTCTTTTGTATTTTGGGGGTGCACATTTTTAACTCGGGGGTGAAAAAGTCCCTATGCCCCCCCCCCAATGGTCAGTTGTTGTCTAATCGTCGCACAGTTTAGTCTGTAAATTGTTATATTATTCTAACGAGTGAATTGTCGTGTTACAATGTCCCTAAATACCTTTTAAAATGTCATTTGTCAATCATCCGGACCAACCTTGACATTAATTAGTCCGGATAATTGGAGTTCTACTGTATTTTAATTTTAAAGCGTGTTATGAGGATTTTAAGAAGTAAGATGGTATTTAACTATTTGCTTTGGGGATTTTTTTTCCGATTGCCATTAAAAGTTAACTAGATCAACGTACCAGATCGCTCACTTATTTTTTTAGCCAACATAATGCGCAAGAAATTTTCACATGCCTTTTGTTTGGCCTGAGTCTTGGAGATGTGATTTGCAGAATACATCTGACCATCAATCTACATTGTTTTTAAAAGTATACATTATTAATTATTATAATAATACGCAAGAATAAAATCAAGCCTTCTAATTCAATTATATCTCAAAATTTATCTTACCTCAAGTGTAGCAGTGTAACCAGTAACATTATTTATTGAGTGCTCTTGTAATTGAATTGGTACATCCTTGAACAACTCAGAAAATACCATTAATGGACTTTTGGGAGATACTAAACGACGCATTCGAGCATTCAAGCGCTTTTTCCGTTCTTTCTTATTAATTTCTAACACAAAAATAAATTTATAAATTAAAAATAATCAATTCACCCAAATGACAATAACTTGATTTAAATAGAATTGCATACTTCGTTTGACAGGCCATTTTACTTCTGACTTCTCGCTAATTGAACTTTCAACTTCAAGTTTTATTCGTTTATTCTATATAGACAATGAGACAACATAAGCAATTTTTAAAAACGCGGCGAAGAAGTATTTTCAGTTAGCGCAAGACACATATACTTTAGCAGATAATACATCAAAATAGTATAGCATAAATAATAATAATAATAATAATATTTTAATTGTATTAACTATAATTATCATTATTATTATTATAAGAGGACAGTGTTTGATCTGCCAAGGTCTATGTAGTTACCAAGCTATGACACAATCCATCACAAATGATGACAAAATATCACTGACTTAGACTGTAAATAAACACAATATTTGTGTATATATAGAATCCTACTTGTCAGATGATATAATAAATACCATCAAATTAATAGTTGGGTTTACAAGTTGCCAATCACAATAAACTAAAATTTTAAAATAAGTAATTTTATTATAAAAATATGATTCATTTTCATATTAAGCTTAATTAGCTTAATAGTCTAATGCAACTAAAAATACACAAATTATTTTTTCTTTTGAATAGTTTAATTATATCAATGTTAGGTAATCATATTAGGACTTTTATATTTATATTAAAATAATAAGTATTATTGGCAACAAGTAATAGCTTCAACCATACTGAATTTACATCACCGCAACAAATTTTAAGCTTAGCTGTCTCACGTTTATGCGAGACGCCCCAGGAATAATATTTGCAATCTTAAATCCAAAAATGATATGGATTGATCAAATCCGCACTACGACTCTGAAATAGATGTACTGTTATTTTAAAATATGCAGTAAACTTAAATCCGTCAGAATATATAGACATGTTCTTTTGCAATGCTATAGTAATTTGTTTTTAATCAATACAAATATTAATAATTTGGTGTCATATTACATAAACCTTTAATTTTTAAATACACAAATGTAATTAATTACTTGGTATTCACTCAAAAAATTTAATATCGCTCAAGAAAATGATAAATAAATTTGTTAACAAGTTTTTAAGAACAGCGATAACAGTTATTTGATGTGTATATATTATATAAATATGAGTATGTGACCATTGCAATCGTTAAATGTAAACACATAGCTATATACCTCAAAATCTTTTACTGGAGACGTTTGAGTAACTGAGGCTGTCGGTATTTGAGTTTGGACAACTGGTTTAGAACATGTTGTTTGTTGTGATGGTGCATCATGCAAGGGCATGGATTGTTGTTGAATTGATTTTTTCATTGGAGTAGTTGTTTTCTAAAAATAAAAGCAAGTATGTTACTTTATTAAATACAATTAAATAAATAATACTAATATTATTATCATCATCATTATCAATTTATAAACAAGAAAACAAAAAACGAATTAGTAAATAGTGGTAAAACCGAGTGTTAATTATTATATTAATAAAAACTTAATAAATTTAATATCAATAAGCATTTAGAATATTTAAGTTAAATAAATATAAATAGGGGGAGTAAATGTATTTAAATTAACTATTATTTGAATAAATAAAAAACTCAATAATATTATGGTTAGGTACTGTTTCACTAGAAATTTTTGGGGCGTAAAATTTGTTTTATCATTATAATTTGATTTACTGATGTGAATATTCTTCGTTAGGTATACATTTATTTCAATAACTACAATTATTAAATTATGCAAGATTTATTAATTATATACCTATAAATATTAAATAGTTAATGTTTGTGCAATTAGTACCTACTTTATAAAAGTAAAAGTGTAGGTAGTAACTATTTTTTATGAAATTGCAAAACAACTGCACTCACACGGGCTTTACGAATAATAATCCTATAAATTTAATATTTTACTATTTACTTATTTTAGAACTAATAATGTGTTCAATATTAACTAAGTAAAAATAGGCACATTTAAATTCTTAAAAAGTCATGTATATCATAACTTAATCTTAACAAGAATAATATTGTATGTATTATGTATATCACAAAGTGTTGATAGGTAGGTACTTAATATTAAATAGGTAATAAAATAAATAATGATGATAACAATGAAACTAATTTTAAAAGCTTACTGATGTTACACAATTGTCCACATTAGACATTGTTTGTTGTTGCTGTTGTTGCTGCTGCAGTTGATGTTGTTGTTGTCTGAAAGTTTCAATCTTTTTGATATACTGATTACCGTGACTACCGCCACCTAAAAAATAACAATTATAAATTAGGAATTAGTATAACAATTAAATTAAATCATAATTATTTGCTCGTATATTATAAGTCTATTTACCAATTTTTGTACAAATTATAGAAAAAGAATTTCAAAAAAATAGGGTATATCAGCAATTTTTATGGTAGGTACCTATAGACTTATTTTACTCATTTGTAATTAAACAATTGTAATTTTTTACATACATAATTGGGCCCTACACTATAGCAGTGGTGGCTAGTTTTGCACTCATCCGTTTGGCTATTAATTGTCACTCTTGAGAACAATTTCTTAACCAAATTTTAGGAAGAAAATAATTCCATCATAATTCTATTATTAATTTTAATAACTATGTATGTTGTTTAAACAATATTTATTAAATTTACAATTTACTTATCTTATATTATAAATAGTAATGGGATATTATTTTCAGTCTCATTCTGTGGTATATACAGCGTGTCCCGCGAGGATTTACCCATTGCGATATCTCCTGAGATAATAGATAAAGGTATCAAAAGTTCATAAATCTGTTTTTCTTTTTATTAGACTCAGAGACAAGGACTACACATATCTTATTTTTTAATTTAATTAAAATTTTTGGTAAAAAAATTTAAAAAAGTTATTTTTTTGTATTTTTATTTTAGAAACAATTGAAGATTTTGACTTTTCAACATTTTATTTTCATTGATCTCATGATTTTAAATAATTGTCTTAGTTTATACTTTATAGGTAAAATGAAAAAAAAACTGGTTTTTTTCCAGTTATGACCCCTCTACGGGCTAATAGGTATATCCTCACAGGGCATCCTGTAGTTACAGTAATGTGTTTTTACATACCTGTTTTGTTTAATGAACTAAATTAATCATAGAAAAAATACATTTTATTTTCGGTTGATTATTATAGCTTATTGAGTCAAAATTAAGTTAGTTACATAATGTTTACATTTGATATAGAAAGACCTAATATTATATAGTTATAGTATATTATTTGAATACAAAATGTACCTAGCTATTAATTTATTAAAACAACTAACTGTAGGTATGTTGGATATTAAAATATAAGTATTTTTTACTACAAAATATTAACCTTGTCATTGAAAGATGCTTAACATAATAATATAACATTAGGTTTTCCGACAAGGGAGGTCTATTTCATTGTAGGTATATATTAAAATAAAAGAGTAGATATTACCTACCCAACATTTTTTTTTAAATGTTTTCAGTTTAAAACTGGATCAAAGGATAAGGTAGGACCTGCATGATATTTACTGTTTAAAAATAATCTACAGATTTATAAGAAATTATAACATATTAAGAGTTTACTCTGCATGTTAAGAAAATGTATTTAGGAGGTACCTACCTATTCAATTTAGTTTGGAATAAAAAATATTAAGTTTAGTTTATGAATTAAAATGAAAAATTTCGGATAAATTGTTATGTTTGTATTTCGTATAACTTTTAGTAGTTATAATCGCGTAGATAGGTAATCAAAGGTTTTTAGTTCACATTTTAGCACAGGTGCCGAGGAGCACACATTGCAAACAAAGCATTTTTTAGTGCATGAACTAGGTAGGCCATGGCAATATGACTTTTGGGACTAGAAACAACAATATTGTACGTTTGATACGGTCACGACCCCCTAGTCCCTACAACAAAGGAGGGTGTCTGTCCCTAGGGTAGACAAATATAAAAAAAAATAAGTAACAAAAATCGATTTTCCGTACTTGAACTTCTAGTGTTGTACATGGCCGACTTTTCCACAACGATATTACCTATAAACGAATGGCCGTACGAGTTGTCGAAGCAGAGCACTTGTTTCAGAAGATTGAGACCTCTGATTGAAAATATACGCTCGTACTGGGTATGTGGTGAGCTACGAACCGACCGTTGGCGACCGGACAGCGGAGTTACACTAGTCTGTGGACTGGACTACTGAACAGACGTGGAATCCGATCAACAGCGGTCCTTATCGGATAGACTTTCGAATAGCAAACTCCAATATCGACGACGCTAGAACAGATACTACTACAACAGTAGCAAATGGCGTAGGCGTTATAAAAAATTAACCACGGCCGTGGTGTAAACTGTAAAGTACTATAGTGTAAACAAAAAAAATGAAAATAAACGTTGTCATTACTTGTCAACAACGTCCCGTAAACGTAACCTTGGTTGGTGTAACACAATAATATGCCAAGTCGAGCTGCTGTTGGATTACCAGCCTGCTACCATAGAACAATTTGATAGGACATCGGGCTTATCAACTATGTTATCAACTGAGAATAAATTGACAACATTTTTGAGGTTATAAGAGTTCCTTAATTATTGATACATATTAATACGATTTAAAAAAACAAAAACATATAATAAAATTATGAATATAAAATAACAATTTAATTATTTTAATTATAATTTATTGCATATTATAATTTAATAATCATTATTCATAATATTACAATTTTCTAATCTAACCTCAAAAAGCACTCTTATAGTCTATCTCTCTTGTAGACAGTTGTTGTAGATAGGTATTGAAATTTGAACTTTCTCTCTTCCCCAAAAAAGACAGCAACCTCTTACGAAGCCAGTATAATATACTATATGCGTGTCCTATCTATTCTTATAATATCTAAAGGTTGAAAGGTTCGTACAATCGTACTACCACAGAATCTATGATACCTAAGAAATTTATATATTTAACATAATATACCGTAGATAGGTAATGGTATGTAGATATTATATCAAATAGAAACTAGTTAACCTTTTTGGTTGTACTTAATCAAAGAAACCATGGGGAATATAACGCCAAAAACGAACGCGTAAACAAAATTGCGTTTAATAAATGTAAGGCTCAAGGAGACACGATATTCAAACTAAAACCACAATAGATTAGCACGACTTTGGAATCATGTAGAATAGGCGGATGTGATAAATGCGATAGCGTTATATGAGAGAAATTCAATATAGAAATAGTATGGTTTGTTATAATAAAATTGACAGTCACAAATTATCTGTCAGTACATTATAGTAATACCCAGAATAGATTAGGAATTTCACAAGTGCGTAGTTGGGTCGATGGTCACATGGACCACATCCGTCAGAACAGCGATACAGCATCACTAGGCAAAGGGGAGCGCGGGGACCGGACTATAAGAGGGACCCCGAAACGGCCTGTATTCAGACGTGTCTACTCATCCCTACTACAAGCACCTTCACGCAACTCTGTGTAACGATTGTCATTTGGACTCAGCACTTTTGTGATTGTTGGAACTCTAATAAACAACAGTATAATATTTGGCATTTGTGTTATAATTATTCAACCGATCCCTCATCATCACAGTAAACGGTCTAGCTACCTGCAAACGTTAATATACTAGTAGCTATCAGAGCAACCAGTATATTACATCTGCATTAAATCTATAATATCTTAGTTGTTTTATAGATATTATCATGACGTATTGACGTGGGTTACCGTCATGAACACACGAGAATATTAATATTTATTAATTTTATAGTTATCTATTATTATCTTAAAGTTAGTTCGTGGTTATCGTGTTGTAGTAAGTTGTTGACGTTGTACCAGTGTACCACCAACACCACCAGCTGATAGTATATTAATCCGTGGCTTACAGTAACCTACGTTGTTCTGTGGTACCTACTGTACCACTGCTATCGATATTAGAGTAGTTAGGGTACACTACTGTTTCAAAATGTGTTATTAATTATTAATATAGGTACCTAGATATTTCTGTCTCACTTATCCAACATTTTTGTGTGCTCCATTCATTTTTGAAAAAAAAACAACAATAATCACCTGGATTTTACACTGTTTAAACATGTTGAAAACGAGTTGTTTAGACATTATGTCTTAAACATAACAACCCTGGCGCCATTATAATGACGTTTCATGGTTAGGTATGAATTGAATTTTCATATTTTAAGTCCATCCTCTATCACAGAAAGAATCGCTAGGCAGGCTCAAGAGCGCAACTATAGGGATGTCAAATTTTCTATAATATATTCCCTTAATGTTATTGGTGAGGAAATCATATAATAGCCATTAGACAACGATAGGCTATTTCATTTCCCACGAGTAGTGGGTGGGTAATTTACATGAAATATTTTTAAAAGCCATAAAAGTAATATAAAATAATCAATTGTTTGGAAAAATATACCATTTAATGAATTAGCCCCACTTAATATTTTTATTGGTACCTACATTAGTTTCATTTTTATATAATATCCAAGTAGAACTTTGGAGTTACAGGAAGTGTATTTTAATTTGATGTAAAGCATAGCTTTTTTTTTTAACTATTTCATCGCTAGTTTATTTTAAAATTTTAATTGCAATTTTCACCATTAAATGTAATTGTTTTACAATGGAATTAAAATATGAATATAAATGTATAACAATACAATAAACAATTCATAGTGTTAGGTTTATAAGTGTCCAATAATAATTATACTATCATAATATTTCATTTTTGTATAGTATCTAATATCTATACACCAATATATTATTATAATGAGTGGATCAAACATAATATACTTATATACCCATCATAATAATGTACCACTACTCTCTACTGCCGTCAATTTTAGCTCAAAAGACCTTAAGTTTTAACAAAATTAAAGTTAGTTATACGTTGTCCGATTTTTATTCTGAAAAGCCGAACTCCTCAGAAAATTAAAGTAAAAATTAAAACTTCTATTATTGTAAACTGTAATTGACTAAAAATTGGCTAAAAGTTTTCCCTCGAATAATAGCTGTAGAGTAGCCCGAAATAATTATTAAATCATGTATAATGTCTTAATTTAAAGTAAGTATCAAGAATTTTATTTTCAGAATCTAAATTTTTTCTTAAAATAAAAATGTTTATTCTTATATTATTAGCATTATATAGGTATTTTCTTATATACACAATTATACAGTGAGACTTTCATTTTACATAGTCTCATGGAGTATAAAAAAAAAATTCGTACTAAGTACCTATAGAGAATTTCGTTGAATATAATCGAATGCATTTGGTTCTCAGAATTATTTCGTTATACTGAAAATGTTGGCAATCGGAAGTTCGTTTCATGGAAGTTACACTGTATAACAATGAATCTATATAGGTAAAAATGTCCGAAACCAAAAATGTCCATGGTAAAATTGTCCAAAATAAACTAAGTAAAACCGCGCTTGAAAGTTATAATTAAGTAGGTAAGTGATAAAAATAAACAATTTTTTTGTTATTGCTGTATATTTAAAAATGTCAAAAAAAAATCATTTAATTTATATAATATTACCTAATTAAAATTTATAAAAGACAATGATATACAAAAATGTCCACTGTAAAATTGTCCAAAATAAACTTTAATACCGTATATTCTAGTGATGGGCAACTCAAAGTTACTATACTATTATAGAAAATTAAAATTGAACAGGCCAGAGCATAAAAAACCGGCCAAGTGCGAGTCGGACTCGCTCACGAACGGTCCCGTACCGGCCGTACCATCATCTATAAACATGTTGGCAACACTGCTTATATTATGTATTTTAGGATTTTTAGTATTTGTTGTTATAGCAGCCACAGAAATACATAATCTGTGAAAATTTCAATTTTCTAACTCTCATGGTTCATGAGATACAGGCTGTATCATACAGCCTGGTGACAGACGGACGGACGGACAGCGGAGTCTTAGTAATAGGCTTAAGTTCTACATTTTTGTAGAATACCGTAAACAATATGTATAACACATTAGATACACGTATAGTGCAGTAAAAACGGCCTTTTTTTATCTGAATCTATAAAGAATTGTTCGATTACATTGTTGTACAGTGGCGTATTTAGGTTTTTGTCACGGGCCGGGATATGATTTTATCCAGTATAGGCGTATAGCTTCACCTTTAAAATTATAAACCTTAAGTTGGGACTCCGAAAACTTTTGCATATTATATACAATCAATGGGGGGGATTGATCCCCTTGATCCCCTCCACCTTAAATACGCCACTGTCGTTGTACATTTTAATAGTTTAAGCGCTTTTCGTATATATAGTTATATAGTTATATCGTTTATATATATATAGTTTAAGCGCTTTTCGCTTTTTTATTGTATTATAATATGTTGTAGGTAGGTAGCTAAACATTATATGACATAGGTTTTCTGAAGAGTGAAGACAATGTAGAACTAAAAACTAGAAATAGGTTTACATTTTTACTCTTCGTGAAAAATGATCTTTCTATTGAACAATAATATTATTGATAGCTGATGTGATTAAACATACGTATAAGTCACGTAGAGCAATAAAAACACGATTGTGGAAAAATTGTTGTAATTTTTTTCTATCTTATGTAAAATCAAGTACACATAATTTCTTTTAAGTATTTTGAAAATGTGTATGCACGGTCAAAGCGTATAATATTCGAGAAAAACAAAATCTGTTTTTAATTTTGTTACATTGCCCGGAAATGTTGTACCTAATACAATGGCCGTGAATTTTGTGAAGTGGCCAATTTACCGTTTGTAGGCAATGTACATTTTTAGTATTTCGTACAGAGAAATAAGTGTTTCAACTCTCGACGTCCGCGCATTTATATAGGTAGAATTTTTTTGGCCTGTACGACGATAACGATTATCGATTGCTAGATTACATATTTACATTCACTCACGCTATTCGATATAGTAACGAAGTATAATGACTGCGTATTTAAATATTTCAATATCGATACTGTTGTTTGATTTGGATATCTATCTGTAACTGTAA